ACTATTATTGTGTATTTTTTTATCATAAATACTACTATTATTATATACTTTCCCTTGTTAAATTACAGGGTGTGGTATGTATAAGGTTGCAACTTTAACCAATCAAAAGAATGTGCACCTCCAAACTTTGCCATGAGATGCGATTTTGGTGTCGAACATTTTAGGGTGATGTAAGAATCTATGTTTACCTCTAATTATAAAAATTTTAAACTCCAAAAAATAGTTCAACTTACGTATATCTATAAATACATGAAAATAGATGATCCAGATAATGTGTTGCGAAATATACTATTTTTAGAACTTAAAATCTCTTTTTTTCTCCATATTTATTCATCTCGATGTTCAAAACAACTATTAAATCTACATTTAAGGTATCAACCTTATTTAAACTTTTTCCTAAAGATTATATGATCTTTAATTCAAAGGCTAAAAAACAGGAATATATATTTAAAGTAAAATTAAGTACAACACATCTAAAGGAGGTCCAAAAGTAGTGAAAAAATGGATTCGGAAAAAATCAATTTGTGATTAAGGGTATTTTAGAAATAATCCAAAAAGAAGGGAAAATATAAAAATAAATATTAATGGCTAAAATACTTTCCAATCTTTACCAAAATTATCATAAAAAAACATATTACAAATAATTTTTTCATTTTCTTGAATTTTTTATAATTTTTTAAATTTTTTAAGATCCCCAAATCATACTACCAAACTCAAAGATACTCAAACTTGCTACTCAGGCGAGTCCGAGTGGGCTCGCCCTAGTTTTCCCGCACTGTGTTCAATTCTCTCTTCTTAAACACATCACAGGAGAAGTTGGGGTTGTTTCAATGTGACCACATGCCTTGTATAAGCAAGTATAAGAGCTTTATTAAACAACAAACTTGTTGAACAAAGCTTTGCAATTTTTAGATGTGCAGTGCTTTTTATCTTTGCCATCTAATGGACAACTACATTGCACCGACCAAACCACGTTTGAATGACATTAAGGCACGTTACAAGACCAACCAAAACTTTGGCATT